TGCCACATGAGGCACGCGAGCGCCGCATCTTCGTAGTCGGTGGCGACAGACGCCGTGCTGTAGACATAGCGAATTAGTGGCCTTAAATCCGCCTTCGTGCAAGGCGGAGCTTTGTTAGTTAATCCCCCATTGTCCCGTTTCAAGCAATGTTTTTCCAAAGTCTTGCCTTGCTTTAGCAGGTTTAACGCTGTAGGAACCCGAAGATGAGGATATTCATCGAAAAACCAAAGCTTAACGTTTCTAAAGTATGAAATGGCTGTGTTAGACGCCAACTTACCTTTCTTACCTTCATACGTGGCGAGGTAGTAGCCAAAGCGGTCCATAATGGCAGCAAGGCTCTTGCCAGAACTGTCACCACGCACACAGGCTTGAATGACATTCATGGACACATTCTCTGCTTCTAGCATGCGCTCAAAAGCACCAATATCCCTGTGGTGCGCGCTTTTTGCGTGTTCGCAGGGATGAGTGCAGAGAGACTCATGCTGATCTTTGTCTGGCGCTTCTGCCGTTTCAAAGTGCCTATGTGTGTATGTGCGGAGGACCACCAGTGTCTCCACTGACTAGAGCTCCGGGCCTAAAATAGGTTTCTGCCTAGTTGTTGTAATCATGAGCATATTTGAAAAGTACGTACTTGACTGTATTTCACTATGTGCATATACATATTTGCGTCTCGCTTCCGACAAATATTTGTCAGAAGCTGTCGGAACTAAAAACCTATCCCTGTGTGATTTGATTGGATGAAAATAGTGAATAGCGACTGTGTGATTGGTCAGGCCGTCATATATTTCCTGTTCTGTACAATCCTACTAAGCTATCTGTCGGAAAACTACTATATTCATCCTTATCGGACCTGTACCATAATTGAGGTAAATATGCAGTATTTGAAACTGAAAATGGCCATCTCGACGTCGTGATGTAGCAATGTATGAGGGTGCATGGTGTTTATAATGAGCGCGTAAGGGAAGCCGGTAGGCATGTACATTAACAGTGGAGGAGTTTTATTAAATATACGTTTATTATATAATGAATAATCTTATAACAATGCAGCGTGGTTGGCATCGTGCAGTCCGCATGTGCTGCGTGCTCATGCAGCGGGCAGCACGCAGCTCTTGGGCCGAGCAGCATGCCGCCAGCCCTGCCAGGTAAGGCACTAGCACTCGCGGGGTCTCCACGGCGGCGGCGGTGGTGGCAGCTGCTTCTGCGGGCCGCGGGGTGGGGCTGCCGGGAGGGCGCGCCGCAGCTTGCAGGCGCTCACCCAACGGGCAGCCTGCCGGCCGCCCTGCCGGGCAAGTCATCAAGGTTCTCCGGGCAGACGTCCGCCCCGCCACCGCCACACCAACCAGTCGCCGTCTTACTGCTGCCTCCCTGCCGCCGCCGCCTCGCCGTCCAGCCAGCCACCGACCTGCCTCCGCTCCGCCGACCTGCCGTCGCTTCGCCAGTCCTTCCTGCCGCCGTCGTCCTGCGGCTTCACCGTCCTCCTGGAGCCTGCTACCTGCCGCTGCCTTCCTGCGGCCGGATTCCCTCGGCGCCACCGCCGCGGCCTCCTGCACTCTGCCCTCCACGCAAGCCCGCCACCCAACGCTAGAATAAAAATGAGCAAGTGTAATCGGTGTGTGGCCCACAACATAATACACAAACTTATATATTTGTTTTTAGAGTCCATTATTTTAGGGTACCATGTTGTTGGTACAGGTCGGATAGGTCCTATAGTCGGATATTTCATGGTATGGATGAATATAGTAGTTTTTCCGACAGCTTAGTAGGATTGTACAGAACAGGAAATATATGACGGCCTGACCAATCACACAGTCGCTATTCACTATTTTCATCCAATCAAATCACACAGGGATAGGTTTTTAGTTCCGACAGCTTCTGACAAATATTTGTCGGAAGCGAGACGCAAATATGTATATGCACATAGTGAAATACAGTCAAGTACGTACTTTTCAAATATGCTCATGATTACAACAACTAGGCAGAAACCTATTTTAGGCCCGGAGCTCTAGTCAGTGGAGACACTGGTGGTCCTCCGCACATACACACATAGGCACTTTGAAACGGCAGAAGCGCCAGACAAAGATCAGCATGAGTCTCTCTGCACTCATCCCTGCGAACACGCAAAAAGCGCGCACCACAGGGATATTGGTGCTTTTGAGCGCATGCTAGAAGCAGAGAATGTGTCCATGAATGTCATTCAAGCCTGTGTGCGTGGTGACAGTTCTGGCAAGAGCCTTGCTGCCATTATGGACCGCTTTGGCTACTACCTCGCCACGTATGAAGGTAAGAAAGGTAAGTTGGCGTCTAACACAGCCATTTCATACTTTAGAAACGTTAAGCTTTGGTTTTTCGATGAATATCCTCATCTTCGGGTTCCTACAGCGTTAAACCTGCTAAAGCAAGGCAAGACTTTGGAAAAACATTGCTTGAAACGGGACAATGGGGGATTTACTAACAAAGCTCCGCCTTGCACGAAGGCGGATTTAAGGCCACTAATTCGCTATGTCTACAGCACGGCGTCTGTCGCCACCGACTACGAAGATGCGGCGCTCGCGTGCCTCATGTGGCACTGTTTTGGTCGCTCCTCGGATCTCGGCTATATCAGCAAGCAGCACATCACAGTGTCAGCGGACAACGTTTTCTACGTACGCATGCTTCGTGTGAAAACTGCCGAAGAGCAAGGCCTCACCCTCGTACCTGACCGCGACGACTTCCTCACCTGCCCCCTGCACACGCTGGCCGTTGCTCTGGTGATGCAGGAGGCGCCCTGTGTGTCGCTGCTGAGTCAGCTTCCCGCTCTCGCCACCACCGCTGGAACCTCGCTCGACGCAGGTGCGCCTCTGCTCGAGGTGCTGCGGGTCAGCGTCGCGGATAGCAGCGACACCGCGGCGGCCTTGGAAGCGTCCCTGTCGCCGCCCAGCACCGCTTCCCTGCTCCCCACACCAAGTCCGCCCAGCTCCAACCCGTCGCAAGCCACCACCGCCTCCCTGCCAGCTCAGCTCACAGCTTCAAGTCCCGCGAGGAGCAGCCTCGGCCGCGGTGAGGACGGAGTCCAAGCGTATGTCAACCGCTTTTTGAAGCGGGTGGCTGAACCCGCCGGTGCCACCAGCAACCTGACCTCGCACTCCTTTCGCCGAGGAGGTGCCCAGCACGCCAACGGAGACGAGTGGCTAGCAGCGTAGTGGATCTTTGACCGCGGGTCATGGGATATGACCCGCACGAACAAAGGCTTTGCCTATGTCTTCAACACCCCCCGCGAAGACCGAAAAGTCGCCCGAGTGCTGAGCGGCTGGAGCGCCGACGAAGCCCCGGTCATTGCGGACGTTGCAGCGCTGGACCATGGGACGCAGGAACGCCTGGCGCGCTTGGAGGAGCTGCTGTTCGGTTCCTGCATTGGACTGGCAGACGCAAAGCTAAACGTAAGTCGCAAGGTTATCGGAGTGCTGACGGCGTACCTGATCAAGTATTTCCCGCAAGTGAAGGCGCTGGCGCCCGACACGCTGTTCGTTGCGCGTATCGAGGAATGCTTGGGAGCGGCTGATATCCCGGTCGCCGACATGCTGTCTTGGTCCATGGCAATCAATACGTCTGCTGCTTCGAGTCCTGAACAAGCACACGAAAAGTCGGAAGCAAAGAGCAACTGCTGTCATGCTGGGTGTCACCATTTGGCTGTCATTAGCGAGCTTATCGAGAGCAATCGGCTCATGTCTGCGCGCCTCCTCGCACTGGAGACGATCATCCTAAAGCAAGCGCCGCCTGTGAAGCGTATTGAAGAAGCATCAGAAGAGCAAGCGTCGTCAGAGCAAGCGCCACCCGCAAAGCGAAGAAAGAAAGCTGCTACGAACCTGTCCTCGCTGTGGTTCGAGTGGTACGCGAGGCTGCCCCGTGTCTGGGACTCGAGCAACCGCCAGAAGAAGACCGACTACCGCCTGGGCGTTGCGTACATGAAGCTCTTTCTTGACGGCGGATTCGTGCTGCGCGAGGATGCTGTCGACATCAAAGATCTTGTCTTCGAAGTAGGAAAACGCGCGGAAGCAGCGGTCCTTAGGTTCTTGAGCGAGCAGGGATCCCGAGCAAAAGGAGCTGGCAGCGTGCTGCGCGAGATGCGCAAGCTTCATCGGTCTGGTGCCCTCGACAGTCGCATCGTGGCGTATCAAAGCCACCTCTCCCTGGAAAGGATCGTCGACCCAGCGCCGGCTGCAACCCAAACATACTACAAGTCGTCGGACACAAAGTTCGGGGAAAATACATATATTCATGAACAAATACAAGACAGTTAGCTTACGAACGCGCAGATCAAGGCCATGACCATCCTGCCAACCATCGTCCAGAGACCGTCGGGCACTCAGCGCATCGCTCTCCATCCGCTCGTCGCCGCTTGCCCCGACCCAAACACTGCACACCTTGGAAGGCTCCCATCAATCGTGATTGGCGACGGCGGGCTTCGATCCCGCTCCTCAGGGCAAGCCCTGCGCTCATCCATTGGGCTTCGTCGTCGAGGGTGGAGCCTCCGGCTTGGCTTGCGGTCTGGGGGTTCGGCTTAAGAAATCTAGACTGAAGCCGCGGGGCCTCTGTCGGCGTTGCCTCCGAGAGCTTGACTGCGTGGCGCTTTTCTATTGGCTTAAATAAAACCTCATTGAGGTTTTTAAACGAGTGGCTCTGGAAGAGAGGGTCACTCTTGTGAAGTGTAAATATCACTGTTTAAAGACAATCAACCCAAATAGTGGACCCACCACAGGATCCTGGCTCTCATTAATGAACTTGCCACCTCGAGAGCACATTGCTCCGAGTCGATTTTGCGCCTAGTTGCAAATTGCCGTTTTTCTCGGCCCACAGGCCTCTAGAGGCGATTTCCTCGCGGCTGTGAGCACCGCATGAAAGCTGACAAGAATCGGTCAAACTGCCCCCTAGTCCTAATTTACCGTACATAATATCTAATTTCCGATTTTTCACTATTTCCGATTTTGCACTGGCTTTGACCAATTGCCAGGGAAGTCGGAACCGTCATGATATGGCAAGGGAGGAGCTCTTGCTAGCGCTCTGTGCTATGTCCCAGACACGACGGAGGCTGTCTGCGACTGTAGAAGATCTGCGCAGACGCTTGCACGACGAATACCTGCGCTATGAGCACGATAGGCTCGTTCGAATGCGCCACTACCTAACTGTGAAGTGCCTTCAAGATCCGGAACACTCGTCATGTGGCGTGAAGGTGACGATGTCAACCTCCTCAACGTGACTAGCCTCACTCGGTACGTCATTTTGTTCACAGGATCCATACGAGCTTAGGTGATAAGTCTGTTGCTGTATACGTTGTTGCTGTTTGAATCTTTACTAGGCCTGCTTTTCTCCCTTTGCTGGACCGATTCACCCCTCACTATTATATATCTACTTACCGCCGGCAAGGTGTGCGCCCGACAAAGCTACGGCACCACCACCAGGTGCTCGGCGTGCTAATGGCTTTCTACGTCGGCGCGATGGGCCAGAAGTCTCTGTGTCTGATGTTCGGCGTGCCACCGCCCACGCTCGAAGGTTCCCGCTTTCGCTTGTCAGTTGCCTTTACCATCGTAGCTAATAATTCACACATACGCCAAAGTAGAGCGGTTAACAGCTGATCAATAGCCACATAACATAAAGCGCAACTTACACGAGGTGGGCGTCGGACTCCAAGCTTGACTGAGTCGGCGCTAGATTGTACGGCAGCTAGTTGATAAAGGTGACGCGGAAATCTACACGTCATTCACTCAGATGGGTTAGTCAAAACCCCTTAGCCACACTTGCTGTCACGAAATGACATAGGGCACCAAGAGAGGGTTGTGAGCACTAGCTTCCTCAGTCTTGTGAGACCTGTCCAATCATATTCATACGAGCGAGTTCTCAGAGTTAGCTTTAAACCCAGTGAGTAGGGGGATAGATGCCTAAACAAGTGCAGCGCGTACCGTTCCTTTGATCCTCACGCTGCTTCAGTCGGGCGCGCTTCCGTGTGTGCGCTCCAGGCCGCGGATTCGTGAATGAGCTGAGCGCGAATCTTTGGCGCGAAGACAGCCCTTGAAGATCGCCCTCCCCCTTCAATTCAAAGTGCTTCCCAGTTGGGGGTGGAGTTTGATCCTATACTAAAAGCAAGTGTTAGTTTTATCATGGTTGCAACTTCAGGGGCATCATTAAACGGGGCAAGTCGATTAGACTGAATTGTTTGGTGAGACCACTTTTCGGTCTCACCAAACAATTAAGTTTAATCATCGTTTAATCCTCTCAAACCCCAGTGATAAAAAAGTTTTGTCACGGTTGTGGAAGGCACCCAGTGGAAGCCTTCCAAAACCGTATTAAACTTCTGCATAAACGGATTTACCGCATTTCGCATGTAGAGAAACACACCCATGTCATAGGTTTAGGTTAATTACTGCACTCGAGCCTAGAAACAATGTAAAACCCAAAAAATGGGTCACGCGATCATTTCGTACGCAAAATGGGCACGATGGTTGGCCTAGTCATGCGGATGGCGCGGAGCGATCTCCTCTAGGATGGCGCTTAAGCTCGCAACTAGTCTAGGCGCCGTCTACAACTATGTTGCACAGGAACCACACCACTTAACCAATTATCTACAGCGTTGCTTCTTCTACTACCATCGCTGCAGCAGCCGTGTTGTGCGCTCTCTCGAGCTTGCGCGTTGTGGTTTAACCTCGTGCTCCCCATATCCCGCACTCAGGCGCGCCTCAACTGGGCCCACACCAGGCGTGGCTACTAACGATCACTCCGACGAGGCGTATGCCTCCAAGCGCGCGGGGAGGGGGCAGCGCGACGTTGGCGAGCGGTGCGCAGCTCTTCCCCTCTCCCTTCGCGCGCTTGGAACTGGTGGCTCAATGTGAATGCAAAAATGCGCAAAATACCCAAATTAGGGGTGTATCTCTCTACATGCGATCCCACGGACTTTTCTCTCGCATCTCTGATTGGTCTAAATAAAGGTGTATCTCTTAAACCGCTGTAGCGCTCTACATGCGAAATGCGGGTAAGAAAACTTATTCTGATGAGACGTAAATTACGTCTGAATAAACGAAGGGTCACTTCGCCCCCTCATTGTGCAACTACATAAATAGTAACTTGATTAAAGTATACACCTCCCTCATTTAGCAACTTGAAGGCACCTCTCACATATATCGACCTATGCACAGTTTATATTTAGAGATGAATTTAGAGAAACATTTTATGTCGAACATTTTGATTATGTACATGTCATGACCTTCATAATCAAAGTACATGTACGGTACAGTATCTAAATATGATGTCGCCTTATCCTGATCTTGTTGTGCGAGCTTGCTACCACATTATGCTCGAGCAGTAGAGTATTATACCGGCAGACCCGAATGGCAGGAAGTGGGAGCCTTCCAAAACCTGTATTTCATTATGAAGTCTTGACTCCCGACACCTGAATTTTATGTTCACATGTCAGTCAGCGGCCGACCTGACCCCGTTCCTGTGTCCCTCATTTCTGAATTGCCTGTCAATCCCACAAATCAAACAACCAACCAACCCACTCACCCCACCCAACTCAACCACCAAGATGTCGACTGCTCCGAGAACCGTCAAGAGCAGGAACCTGCCGCCGTAGCCGTGCACAATTGCCCGGACGATCGACCGGCCGTGCCGGTCGAAGTGGCGCTTGAAGTACGCGTAGGCGACTGCGGATCGGCTCTCGTCGTCGAGCGCCAGCAGGTCGTCCTGGTTCAGCTGCCGCGCGTTGCCGATGCGCATCATGTCGTCCGCGTACGAGAGGAAGAGCCTCGACAGCAGCGATGCCGACTGTCGTTCCGGCACTGTCGGCGACGCCGGCGGCACCCCGACGAACGTGGCATACTTGCGAGAAGACGCCGCGTTCTGTAGCTGGATCGAGCTCATGCGTCTCTCGTCTGTTGACCCCGCCTGCTCACCGTCGGTCTCACTTGCGGCCAACCAAGTTGGGTAGACTTTTAGGAGAAAAAGTGCAACTCACTTCGTACACATCCCGAATCAAATGCATGTTACCTTGACTCAGGATTCTTGAGAGCCCCAGTTTTCGATAGCATTTCAGTCACATTGATATCGGATAAACTGTAACAATGCAATGTGAGCAAGGCCCCTCTCGTGTCATGATCACGAAGCCTCCTAGTTCTCGAGCACCACGCGGTAGCGCACGCTGCCGTCGCGGACCTAGTCCAGCCCCTTGTTCACCTCGCTCATCGGCAGCTTCTCGATGATCGGGCGCACATTGCCCTTCGCCGCCACCTCCAGCATGTCCTTGATGTCCTGAATGCTGCCGATAGCGCTGCCACGAACGCGCACAGCGCGGGGAACCAAGAACCACGGCGTGATCTTCACCTGGTCGAGAGGGAGACCCACCATGATGAACGTGCCACGCTTGCGCACCAGGCCCAGGTACAGGTCGTACGGCATGTCCTTGGCGTCGGCTGTGAGCAGGAGGAAGTCCACGCTGCCCGCCGCGGAGAAGGCGACGGGTGTCGCGCCCAACGCACGGATGAATTGGATGGCGATGTGGCCCAAGCCGCCGATGCCGATCACACCCACGCGGTCGCCGGCCTTGACTCCCTCCTGCTTCAACGGGGTGAAGACGGTGGCGCCGGCGCACATGAGCGGAGCAGCCGCGTCGGAAGGCAGCGCGTCCGGGATCTTGAACGCGTAGTTGTTGTCAACGCGAATGAAGTCGGCAAAGCCACCCTGCTGACGGGAGCCGTCCTTGTAGGCGGCGTTGATGATGAAGACGCTCTGGTCACACACGGCGTCCTCGCCACCGGCGCAGTCGCGGCAGTGATCGTTCGGGTCGCGGTTCAGGCACGCCCACGCCTGCGCTCCAACACCAACGCGATCGCCTACGACCAGATTCTTGACACTTGGACCGACAGCGACCACCTCGCCAACGATCTCGTGGCCGGCCACGACGGGTACGGCGTCGGGCCCCAGCCGCTGTCCAGCGTGTGCACGTCCGATCCGCAGATGCCGCAGTGCGTCACTTTGATCTCGACGTCTTCGTCGCCGAGCGGGCGCGGCTCGAACTGCCAGGGCTTGCATTCGCCAGTGTTGTCGAAGGCGGCGTAGCCGTTGAACGTTCTCGGATGGGCGGACATCTTCTAGGAGGTCCGTGCGCTTGTGAAGATGTTGTGCTTGGTTGTTGGCAAATTCGCGAATGAAGGCTGTCCTTCCTTGCGTGGCAGGGGTTCTACATCAAAACAGTGATAAGTGCACACAATCTGCCCCAATACATAATCCCTGATGATGAAGGTGAAGCATTCGAGCAATCATTTTCGTAACCCTACATACCGTATCGTCAAAAGCAGAATGCCCACAACAGAAAAAGAGATGCGGCAGCGTGGACTTCCTTCTGCTCACGGCCTACGCCACCAGCATGCCGCGATCTGTATCTGATCCTTGTCCGCAAGCGGGGCAGGTTCATCATGATGGGCTTGCCCAACGACCACGTGACGATCACGCCGTGGCGCCGTGCGTGTTCGTGGCAGCACCATCGGCAGCATCCAGGACATCAAGGACATGCTTGAGTTGGCCGCCAAGACGAATGTGCGCCCGATCATCGAGACGCCGTCTGTGATGACCGAGGCTGGACAAGATACGCGACGGCAGCGTCCGCTACCGCGTGGTGCTCGAGAACTAGGCGCTGAGAACGAGCCGGCAATCGCACAATTGTTTCCGTGTTGCGGGCTGCACGTATTGCGTAGCATGAGAATGCACTTCTTAGCAATGAAAACACTGATCACCAATGCCTTGATTTGCCTTTCATTACAGTCTGTACAGCTTACAGATTCGCTGAAGCCTTCTTAGAGGTGGAGTTTTCGAGCACAACTCGGTAGCGCACCTTGCCCGAACGCACCATAGCGAGACCGTCGTTCACCTGCTCCATCGGTAGTTTCTGAATGATCGGGCGCACATTCTCTTTCGAGGCCAGCTCCAGCATCTCCTTCACGTCCTCGGGGCTACCGATCTTGCTGCCCACTAGGCGCTTGCCGTCCCTCACAAAGCTGCCCGGACTGCAGATGAGCTTGTCGTTAGGCAGCCCAACCATGATGAAGGTGCCGCGCGGTCGAAGGAGTCCGAGGTACGTGTCGTACGGCATGTTGTTAGCGTCCGCCGTAAGCACCACCATGTTGACAGACCTGACAGCGCGCTTAGCGTCCTCGGGATCGCTCAGGTTGTAAAACTCCTGGGCGCCCAGAGCACGGACCTCTTGCTCTTTGCTGGCGGAGCGAGAGAAGGCGACAGGCACGCCGCCCAGAGCGCGGATAAACTGGATCGCAAGGTGGCCCAAGCCGCCGATGCCAATGACACCGACTCGGTCGCCAGGCTTCACACCCTCGCGCCTCAAGGGCGCGAACACCGTCACACCAGCGCACAGCAGTGGTGCCGCCTCGTCCGACGGGATGTTGTCAGGGATCTTGAAGGCGTAGTCGCTCGAGACGCGCACGAAGTCAGCGTAGCCGCCATAGGACTTGGATCCGTCCTTGTAAAGCGAGTTGTAGGTCATCACGACGTCCTTGCAGTACGGGTCAAAGCCGCCAGCGCACTCGTCGCAGGGGGAGCTGGGGTCCTTGTTGCGGCAGGCCCAGACCATCGCTCCCACGCCGACGCGGTCGCCCACAGCGAGATGCTTCACGTCCGCGCCAGCGGCGGTTACTTCGCCCACGATCTCGTGGCCAGTCACGACGGGGTACTTGGTCGCCCCCCAGCCACTGTCCAGCGTGTGGACGTCCGATCCGCAGATGCCACAGTGCGAAATCTTGATCTCCACGTCCTCCGCTCCGAGAGGGCGAGGCTCGTACTGCCAGGGCTTGCACTCGCCCGACGTGTCGAAGGCGGCGTAGGCGTGGATGGTGCGCGCGGACATCTTGATCTCGGAAGACGGGGGCTGTGCTCGACTGGCGGCAGATTGCGAAATGGTGAGGTTGGCATCGAGGTGAGCCGTGGAATCATCAAAGGTGCGTGGTCGACGGCGTTGAAGTTGAGAAGGTCTCACTCAACATTTGGTCATTGCAATCACGAATGCGTTAAGACGTCGTTCGCCAGCCTGAAGCTTTGAGCCGGGGGTGTACATGTACATGTAGTACACAGCGTATCCTATAGACCAGTGTCGATGCAGCTTCAGCTTTGGACGAAGCCTTTTGATCTCGTTCTCAAGTTTCGGTTCAAGTGCTTCAACGAACCCATCCAGCCAATCAACGTGATCCAGTTCATTCCAGATCCGCGAAAGTGCTCCATGGCCATTTCGCTGTCCTGATGAGCCATCGTGCAACTCCAAGATGACAGTAGTAACAACTTCGGCGCCAACGTCGTCGACATGAGACCAGCCTCCATTCCCGAATTCGCGTCGACAGCAGCACCCACCCAGCCAGCCTCTGCACGTCCAGGATGCTGCTGCAGAATAATCCCCCATCCTCGCGCAAGTATGCCACGTTCGTCGGGGTGCCGCCGGCGTCGCCGACAGTGCCGCAACGACAGTCGGCATCGCTGCTGTCGAGGCTCTTCCTCTCGTACGCGGACGACATGATGCGCATCGGCAACGCGCGGCAGCTGAACCAGGACGACCTGCTGGCGCTCGACGACGAGAGCCGATCCGCAGTCGCCTACGCGTACTTCAAGCGCCACTACGACCGGCACGGCCGGTCGATCGTCCGGGCAATTGTGCACGGCTACGGCAGCAGGTTCCTGCTCTGCGGACTGGCGTCGGTCTTCACGACGGCCTGCATCCTGTTCGCGCCGATCGTGCTGCACCACGTGATCGACGCGTTCGCAGCGCCGGAGATGGACCTGACGAGTCTTGGGCTGTGGCTGGCCGCGTTCTTCGCCTCTCGCCTCGCGAACGCACTCGTGACGCCGCACGTGGACTTCCAACTCCAGTTGATGACGTTTCGCATGGCCGTGTCGCTGAGAGCACTGCTGTTCGAGAAGACCATGCGACGCAGCATCCAGAGCCGCAGCAACGACAAGGCCGTCGACATCGCCAACATTTATTCGTCAGATATCCAGCGGGTCATTCAGTGTACGAATGAAATCAACACGATCTGGATCTTTCCCATTCAGATCGGCGTCGTGGTCTACATGCTCTACGACGTACTAGGTGTAGCAGCGCTTGCCGGGTTCGTTGTCATCGCCTTGTCGATGCTGGCGGCGTTCTTTTTCAGCAAGAGGTCAAGCGGGTCGTACAAGGAATTGATGAAGCGCAAGGATGAGCGGATGAAACTCGTCAAGGAAGTGTTTGGCGCCATTCAGATCGTCAAATTTAACGCGTGGGAAGGGAAGTTCGAGAACAAGCTCCTTGCTTTACGTGAACGAGAGCTAAAAGCGCTGGCACGCTTCATGTATTCCTTGTGTGGATCCATCTTCGTGTTGTGGGCGTCGCCGATTTTCGTCTCGACAGTCTCGTTCGCTGTATACACCATGGTGATGGATCAAGTCCTGACGGCTGCCAAAGTGTTCACAGCCATCGCGTTGTTCAACGCTCTCAGAGATCCACTGCGAGACCTCCCGGGTATTATTCAGCAGTGCCTCCAAGCGAAAGTCTCTCTGAATCGCATGTCGGACTATCTCGCGCTTCATGAAGTCGATCCGGCTAATGTGATTCATAACGATGCGTCAATTCCAGCCGATGTCTCGATTGCCATTGAGCATGGTACCTTCGCGTGGAAGGAGGATGCGGCACCCGTATTGAGCGATGTGAACTTCACAGTGAAGAAAGGTGACCTGGTGGTAGTTCACGGACCGGTTGGCTCTGGTAAGTCCTCGCTCTGCTCCGCTTTGCTGGGTGAGATGGAGAAGACTGAAGGCAAAGTTTTCGTGAATGGCAAGGTGGCGTACTACTCGCAGCAGCCCTGGATTCAGAATATGACAATTCGAGATAATATCCTGTTTGGGCAAGCTTTCGGTGACAACAAATACCAACGCATTCTTGACGTGTGTGGTCTTCTGCCAGACCTGGAACAGTTTCCCGGTGGTGATGCGACGGAGATCGGCCAAAAGGGGATCAACCTATCTGGAGGCCAGAAGGCTCGTGTGAGTTTGGCACGCGCCTGCTACTCTGATACCGATGTATTCATTCTGGATTCGCCTCTTGCCGCCGTGGATGCCGTGGTTCAGAGTGCGATTTTCAGCCAGTGCATCTGCGGACTGCTAGCGGAGAAGACGGTGGTGCTCGTCACTCACAACCCAGATGTGATTGCGTCCGGTGCGGTGAATGGGAAGGTTTCGGTCTCTGGGGGCCAGGTCACTTTCGAGCGACAAGAGCTCCAGCACAGCAGAGCTCGTTTTGCGAAACAAGTCGCACTTACTGTCAATGAGGAAAAATACTCAAAGGGTAGTGAGTTCATTGATGAAGGTTTGAAGGCTACGGGCAAACTTGTGGAGGACGAAGAGCGTGAAGAAGGTCGCGTGTCTGCGGCGGTTTTTTGGCAGTATTTCACGGCAGCAGGAGGGCTGAAAGTGATCGTGCTGTTGATCGTGATCCAGTCGCTCTGGCAGGGCTGCCAAGTCGCGAGTGATTTATGGCTAAGCCACTCGACGGGTCAAAAGGGCAATGTATATGATGCTTCTCGGACGAAGTACAACATGACAGTCTACGCGCTGTTGGGTGGAGGCAGCGCTTTGATGGTGCTCGCGCGAGCTGTTACGGTTTCTACAGCGGGGCTTCGCGGCTCTCGCGATCTCTTCCGTTTGCTTGCCCGCGCGCTGCTGTCCGCACCTCTGCGCTTCTTCGACGCTAACCCGATCGGCCGAATCGTCAATCGCTTTGGAGGTGACATGACTTCGGTCGAAACTGACATTCCATTCGCGACAGGAAGTTTGCTGGTGTCAATTTTCTTCACATGTTTTCAACTTGGGACAGCGATTTACATCGTACAAGTGCTGGTTGTATTCATTGTCCCGCTCGCGTATCTGTACGTTAAGTTCGCCAAGTTTTACTTGATGCCATCCCGCGAGATTTCTCGATTGTTAAAGGTGGCGTCATCTCCAGTCCTCAGCCACATTTCCCAAGCAGAAGAAGGAGTGACCACAATCAGAGCGTTTGGGCCGGAGTATGTGGATAGCACGACAGCCGAAAACTTTGCGCGCAACGATGTGAACGCACGAGCTTGGGTTTCCGACTTCGTGGTGATCATGTGGTTTCAAATTCGCATGGAGCTTGTGGGCTGTGGCGTCGTGATTGCCGTGGTGTCCTGCTTGGTCTACCTTCACGACTACCTCTCGCCTGGACTTGTCGGTGTTGCGTTCACGTACGCACTAAGCATTGATAGCCGACTCGCCCGACTGGTACATCTGTGGTCGTGGCTAGAGATTCAGATGGTCAGCCCCGAGCGGATCATGGCCTACGCCTCAATTCCCCCAGAGGGTCGACAAAGCGTCCTCTGCATCGAACCGACTCAAGCCTGGCCGAATGTCGGTACGATCACGTTTGAGAACGTCGTGTTCAGCTACAAGCAGGGCGGCAACCCCGTTCTCAAGGGTCTGTCCTTCGACATCCGCAACAACGAGAAGATCGGCATCGTCGGACGCACCGGCGCAGGCAAGTCCAGCCTCACCATGGCGCTCTTCCGCATCAACGAGCTGGTGTCCGGCCGCATCCTCATCGACGGCGTGGACATCGCGACGATGCCCCTGCGCACGCTGCGCTCGCACCTGTCCATCATCCCGCAGTCGCCCGTGCTGTTCAAGGGCTCGCTGCGCGCGTACATGGACCCGTTCGACGAGTTCACGGACGCCGACATCTGGGCTGCGCTGGAGAAGGTGGACATGAAGGCGCAGGTGTCGGCGCTGGAGGGCCAGTTGGCGTACGAGCTGAGCGAGAACGGCGAGAACTTCAGCGTGGGCGAGCGGCAGATGCTGTGCATGGCTCGCGCGCTGCTGACGCGGAGCCGCATCGTGGTGATGGATGAGGCGACGGCGTCCATCGACCACGCGACGGAGAGGAAGCTGCAGGAGATGATCAAGCGCGACTTCCAGGACGCGACGGTGTTGACGATCGCTCATCGACTGGGCACGGTGCTGGACTCGGACCGCATCATGGTGCTGAGCGACGGTCGAGTGGTGGAGTTCGACAGTCCTCGCAACTTGGTGAAGGGTGGAAGCGGTGTGTTCTACGAGCTGGCCAAGGAAGGGGGCTACCTCGACAAGCTGCAGTAGGCCGATGCTGAATAAAATAGACGTGAATGAGCTGCCTTGGATCCATGCGAGTGGATTCCACTGTGGAGGGATCAGCTACGACTGTAGGTCTTGCACATGTAGACGACCGGACCTGCGTGTGACGAGGCACTGGACCGCAGACCGCGTTACGCTCCCATGCTACCCCAGCCAGTCAACCGTTCTCGCCTTCCCGGTGCTGGACCTTTCAAAGCTGAAGCTGCTGACGTATTTCGCTTCGATTGATTGGCAAGCCGTGGCACAAAAGCAAAGTATCTTGGATTCTCTATGTCGGCGCGACACACTCATCCGCCGCGCGGGCTCTGCACGCAACGTCACGCAGGACCAAGCGGGGAGCAGCAACTAAGTCAGTCGCCGATTGGCCTCGAAGAGCTCACTCGGGTCCAGTCACTCTCGCCATGACGGCGCAGCGCCACACGGACACCACGTCCATCGTGTCCCCCGCCACGAGGACCAAGCAGCCGCGCTACTCGACGTTCGCCAGCGTCAACGACCACGTGGACGACACCAAGCACAAGCTGCACGATGCCAAGAGCGCCACGCCCGGCACGGCGTCCTTCTGGTCGCGGCTCTTCTTCTCGTACGCCAACCCCATGATGAGCGCGGGCAACATGCGCCAGCTCGACAACGACGACCTGTGGGAGCTCGAGGGCGAGAACCGCTCGGCTACGGCCTTCGACGAGTTCGTGGGCCACTACGAGCGCCACGACAAGTCCATCGTCAAGGCCATGGTGGCCGCCTACGGAGGGCGCTTCCTGCTGTGCGGCCTGGCGATGCTCTTCTCCACTGCGTGCAACGTGTTCGCCCCCGCTGTGCTCAACCACGTCATCACGGTGTTCGCGTCCCCGACGATCGACATGTACAGCCTCAGCGTCTGGCTCGGCGTCTTCTTCGCGTCCCGAATCGTCAACGCCGTGGTGGCGACCCAGATGCGGTTCTACCTCGAGCTGATCGCGCTGCGGCTGACCGTGACGCTCAAGGCGCTGCTGTTCCGGAAGGCCATGCGGCGCAGCATCCAGAGCAAGGGCGACTCCAAGGCGGTGGACATCTCCAACCTCTACTCGTCCGACGTCAACAACGTGCTGTTCGCGGCCTTCCAGATCAACAGTCTGTGGATCATCCCCATCCAGATCGTGGTGGTGGTCTACATGCTCTACGACGTCATCGACCTCGCCGCGTTCGCCGGGCTGGCGGTGATCGCTCTCTTCATGCTGGCGAGTTTCGTAATCGCCAAGCTGTCGGGCAACGCCTTCGAAGACATTATGAAGTACAAGGACGACCGCATGAAGACGATCAAGGAGGTGTTCAACGCCATCCAGATCGTCAAGCTCAACTCGTGGGAGGACAAATTCGCCGACAAGATCCACAAGCTGCGGGCGACCGAGCTATCGGCCATCAAGCGCTTCATGTACCTCGGTGCTGTCAACATTTTCGTGCTCTGGGGCTCTCCGTTGGCGGTGTCGGCCGTCTCGTTTGCGGTGTACGCGATCACGATGGGCAAAGTACTGACGGCAGCCAAGGTGTTCACTGCCATCGCCCTCTTCAACGCTCTCCGTGACCCGCTGAGAGACTTGCCGACAGTGATTCAGACATGCATCCAAGCCAAGATTTCGATCAGCCGATTCGCGGATTACCTCTCGCTGGACGAATTCAACCCGACCAACGTCACACGCGATGACCCGGCGCAGCCAGACGATGTCGTGATGGCTATTGAAGACGGCACCTTCGGCTGGACGAAGGAGGCGGCGCTGCTAAACCACGTGAACCTCACCGTGAAACAGGGCGACCTGGTCATCGTGCACGGCTCTGTCGGCAGCGGCAAGTCTTCGCTGTGTTCGGCGCTGCTGGGAGAAATGAACAAGCTGGCCGGCAACGTCTTCGTTCGCGGTCGCGTTGCCTACTACTCGCAGGAGACGTGGATCCAGAACATGACCATCCGCGAGAATATTCTCTTCGGACTGCCGTACGACAAGGAGAAGTACTCCCGCGTGATCGCCGCGTGTGGTTTACTGCCGGACCTGCAGCAGTTTCCTGGAGGCGACGCGACGGAGATCGGCCAGAAGGGAGTGAACCTTTCAGGCGGCCAGAAGGCTCGCGTGTGCCTGGCTCGCGCATGCTACTCTGACGCCGACATTCTGCTGCTTGACTCCCCGCTGGCTGCTGTGGACGCGATCGTCCAGAGTCAGATCTTCGGCGACTGCATCTGCAACTTGCTGGCGGACAAGACGGTGGTGCTGGTGACGCACAGCGCCGACATCATCGCGAGTGAAGCTGCGAACGTGGAGGTGCTGGTGGAAAGTGGGAAATTGAAGGCGACTCGACACGATGTTGCATTGCCTCGGTGCTCGTACACGCTCCCAGTGTCTCCTCGTTCGGTAAAGGACGACGCCAGTCATGACGGAGAGAGCAACGCTAACAAGGATAAGGATGCTGGGCGGTTGATCGACGATGAGGAGCGTGAAGAAGGCCGCGTGTCCAAGGAGGTGTTCTCGAGCTACTTCGACTCGCTCGGTGGCGTCAAGGTGTGCGTGTTCCTTTTCGCAGTGCAGACGCTATGGCAGGTTTTCCAGATCGGGAGTGACTTGTGGCTGAGTCACTGGACCGGGCAGAAGAACGGATCGTACAACCCGGATGGCACTGTGTACAACGTGAAGGTGTATGCTTGGCTTGGTGCTGGCACTGCCATCATGGTGCTGGTCCGTACTGCAACAGTGGCCGTTGTCGGCCTTCGAGCGTCACGACAGCTCTTCGACAACATGACGGTGTCTTTGCTGAGAGCCCCGCATCGCTTCTTCGATGCTAACCCCATCGGCCGCATCGTGAACCGCTACGGTGATGACATGTCGGCTGTGGATTTCATGATTCCGTTCGCCTACGGAAGCTTTTTGGCAATGTTTTTCTTCACGGTGTGCCAGCTTGCTACTGCCGTGTACACGATGAATTTCCTGGGCGCTCTGATCATCCCGTTGATTTGGATGTATGTGAAGATCGCTAACTTCTATCTCGCCCCTTCTCGAGAGATCTCGCGCTTGTGGAAGGTATCATCGTCTCCCGTACTGAGCCACGTTAGCCAGTCTGAGGAAGGCGTAGTCGTCATTCGAGCATTCGGCCAGGATACCATTGGGCGCATGGTGACGGAGAACTTCATTCGCAACGATGTGAACAGCAAGTGCTGGTTCTCGGAGACTGTGACGCAGCAGTGGTTCCAGGTTCGGATGCAGCTAATTGGCTCGGGCGTCATTTTCGTGGTGGTGTCTGGGTTGGTCTACCTACGCGACCTCCTATCTCCTGGTCTGGTGGGCCTGGCGTTCACGTATGCTCTTAGCGTCGACAGCGGTCTCGCTAGCCTTGTCCAGTGTTGGTCCTGGGTAGAGATTCAGATGGTTAGCCCCGAACGCATTCTCGAGTACGGATCGATCCCCGCTGAGGGAAGTCAACGGCCGCTAGTGATTGAACCCGATGCGTCTTGGCCTCGTTCCTCCACTGTCCAGTTCGAAGATGTCGTGTTCAGCTACAAGCAGGGCGGCAACCCCGTTCTCAAGGGTCTGTCCTTCGACATCCGCAACAACGAGAAGATCGGCATCGTCGGACGCACCGGCGCAGGCAAGTCCAGCCTCACCATGGCGCTCTTCCGCATCAACGAGCTGGTGTCCGGCCGCATCCTCATCGACGGCGTGGACATCGCGACGATGCCCCTGCGCACGCTGCGCTCGCACCTGTCCATCATCCCGCAGTCGCCCGTGCTGTTCAAGGGCTCGCTGCGCGCGTACATGGACCCGTTCGACGAGTTCACGGACGCCGACATCTGGGCTGCGCTGGAGAAGGTGGACATGAAGGCGCAGGTGTCGGCGCTGGAGGGCCAGTTGGCGTACGAGCTGAGCGAGAACGGCGAGAACTTCAGCGTGGGCGAGCGGCAGATGCTGTGCATGGCTCGCGCGCTGCTGACGCGGAGCCGCATCGTGGTGATGGATGAGGCGACGGCGTCCATCGACCACGCGACGGAGAGGAAGCTGCAGGAGATGATCAAGCGCGACTTCCAGGACGCGACGGTGTTGACGATCGCCCATCGACTGGGCACGGTGCTGGACTCGGACCGCATCATGGTGCTGAGCGACGGTCGAGTGGTGGAGTTCGACAGTCCTCGCAACTTGGTGAAGGGTGGGAGCGGTGTGTTCTACGAGCTGGCCAAGGAAGGGGGCTACCTCGACAAGCTGCAGTAGTTTCGCGAATGAATGTAAGTATGTGGGTGATACAGTTGCCCCGGTTTGTGTGTTCAATCTTTTGCCTACCGGTACGCCTTACTTAAGTACTGCCATAGTGTATCGGGGTTGCTTCTTCAACTAACTGTACAAACCCAGAAGTGATTGAAGACGAACAGCGAAAGGTTGGAGGTCTCCAACCGAGGAAGCACATAGGTACACGACAAGGTTCACTTCGTGCAATGATTGATTGTAGGACGTGGCGGAAGGTTCATGCAATTGCAGGGAGTGACGGCGTGCAGGGCACCACTGGGTGACCCAGCGGAAGCGGAAGGAAACCCCCCATGTCCCCGCGGAGCATGTTGCCAAGTGTTACATTGGGCTATGCGATCGTAGAAACCAGATGCGCCTTGCACATTTCATGAACGGAGCTTGGTCCACCTCTTGGCTGAAAATGCACTGCCACACCTGCTTTTCAAGAGCCTTGAAGCCAAATTTTCTCTGTATCGGCATGACTCACCGCGCCCGAAGGGATAGGGAGCCCATACAAAGTCTCTGTGCACTTCCAGGGGGCAATGGCCTGCCCTTACGTAACGCTACATGGACTGAGCGAAGAAAGCATTTTGCGATGGTGTGTAGTTTGTCCGCCGCCCAATCCTCCATTTCGCCTCGCTGGCCATTATTCGTTCTTCACCTGTTCGCCTGAGCGCTCTGCCTCGATTGAATATGAAGAACGCCGCCATCGCGTTAGCTCTGGCCGCCAGCTCGCTGGCTGTCGCTGCCCAAGACACGCGCGTGATGATCGAGTCCACGTACACAGACACCAAGGGCCTGAACGATCTGGCGAAGTCCATGGGGAGCAAGTACATGGGCACGGCCACCGACATCAAGCAACTGGGCGACCAGTACTACACGGGAGAGCTCAACACCACCAAGGACTTCGGGATGATTACCCCGGCCAACGCCATGAAGGTGTGTGCAAGTTTGTTCAACGTATAATTGTTTCCGGTTTGTTACTGACGTAGCGAACCTGTGCGCGCTGTTTAGTGGGACGCCACCGAGGCCAAGCAGGGCGTCTTTACGTTCGATGACGCCGACAAGATCGTTGCCTTCGCCAACAAAACTGGAGCTCAAGTTCGCTGCCACGCTCTCGTTTGGGTGAGTTTTTATGATGGCAGGTTGTGTGATATGTTCGATAGTCGACAAAGTACTGACTCGATCACTACTATGCAACTGCAGCACCAGCAAGTGCCCGCGTGGGTGGAGAGTCTGGAGAAGGCTGAGCTGCTGAAGGCGATGTCGAACCACATCACCAAGGTCATGACCCACTTCGGCGACACGTGCTATGCCTGGGACGTTGTCAACGAAGCCATGAACGAAGACGGCACGTACCGGGAGTCGTTCTGGTACAAGAAGACGGGCAAGGAGTACATCGAGACCGCCTTCAAGACCGCCCACGATGTCAAGATCAAGCTGGGCCTCAAGGCAAAGCTGTACTACAACGACTACAACATCGAAGTCGCCAACAACAAGTCCGACGCGGTTCTGGAGATGGTCACGGGTTTGAGGGGTCGTAAGATTTGGGTCGAAGGCGTCGGCTTCCAGGCTCACTACGGCAGCAACGACTCCGTGATGGGCTCTGACATTTTCGACAACCTCCGCCGGTTTACGCTGAAGAACATGGACGTCGCGATCACGGAGCTGGACGTGAAGACGAGCACGGCCGCCCCCACTGTGCCCGAGCAGCAGCACCAGGTGGGCATCTACACCAATGTTGTGTCTGCCTGCAAGAAGACAAAGCGCTGCGTGGGTGTGACGGTCTGGGACTTTGTCGACACCTACTCGTGGAAAGAGGGGTCAGCCCCACTGCTCTTTTACCAGCCTGATGGCGCCAACACGCCGCTTGTGCGCAAGGCCACGTACGACGCTGTCACTGCAGGTTGGATTTTGTAAGTCGAGAACAGACCTCGGTTGTCTGGTAAAGGTGTTTATGTTAATGCCAAAACGGCAAAGTCGGAGTAAACCAACAAGTTAGCAGCAGACTGTTTTCTTGAATCACAGGTATTGCCGGCTTCTCGGTTTTCATAAATGGTCAAGGTTCTGGTATTGTGCACTGCGAGCACCTAACTGCCTTGCTCTTGTAATTCACAGAATGTTACGCTGCTAAGGTGTCTTCATTTTGTCGCCGTAGTAGGTGCTACGTGGACAAGTATGTACAACCATTACCTCCGTGGTGACATCGAATTTTCGTAAGCACTACTACATGTGTACGCACTAGCAGATTTACAGTATCCAACCTGCAGTAATAGCGTCGTACGTCGCCTTGCGAACGAGCGGCGTCTTAGGTCCATCGGGCTGGTAGAACAGGAGCGGGGCCGACGAGTTAATCCAAGAGTACGTGTCCACGAAGTCCCAGACCGTCACACCGACACACCTCATGGTCTTTTTGCAAGCGGAAATGACGTTGGTGTAGATGCCCACCTGCTGCTGCTGCTCGCTCACGGTGGGGTTGGCCGTGCTCGTCTTCACGTCCAGCTCCGTGATCGCGACGTCCATGTTCTTCACTGTGAAGCGCCGGAAGTTATCGAAGATTTTGGCGCCTGCCACGGAATCGTTGTTGCTGTAGTGAGACTGGAACCCGATGCCTTCGACCCAGATTTTTCGGCTTCTCAAGGACGTGGCCATGTCCAGTACTGCGTCGGACTTGTTGTTCACTACGTTGATGTTGTAGTCGTTGTAATACAGCCTGGCCGTCAGAGCCAGCTCGGCCTTCACGGCATTGGCGGTTTTGAAGGCAGTCTCGATGTACTCCTTGCCCGTCTTCTTGTACCAGAACGACTCGCGATACGAGCCGTCTTCGTTCATGGCTTCGTTTACGACATCCCAGGTGCTGCACGAGTTTCCGAAGTGAGTCATGAGCTTAGTGATATGGTTGGACATCGCCTCCAGAAGGTCGGCCTTGTCGAGAACCTTCACCCAGTCTGGAACTTGCTGGTGCTGTAGTCAAATGGAGTGCGTCAGACCTTGCCGTCGTCCAGCTACATATTTCTGTGATGATCATGAAAACGTACCCAAACCAAGGTGTGACAACGGACTTGAGCTCCGGTCTTGTTAGCGTAGGCGACGATTTTGTCGGCGTCATCGAACGTGAAGACACCCTTTTTGGGCTCCGTAGCATCCCACTGCAATACAAGCACAGCATTGCGTAAGCGACCGCCGGAAACAGTTCGACAAGAAGCCTTTGCGAGGCGTAGAACGCACCTTCATCGCGTTTGCCGGGGTGATCATCCCGAAGTCGTGAGTGTCGTTCAGCACCTGGAGGTAGTATGGGTCGCTCAACTGCTTGATGTCGGTGGCCGTGCCCATGTATTTCCCCCCTTTGTCTTTCCACGCCGTCTTGGCCAGGTCGTTCAACCCCTCTGGGCTCGTGTACGTCGTTTCGATCATCACGCGGGGGTCCGCGGTGGCTACAGCCAGCGCGAAGGCGCCAAGCACCAACGCGAAGGCTGCATTTATCATCGTGCCCTGGAACGAGCGAGAAATGAAGAATGCCAGAGTGACGACTTTGGACGGGCAAACGAAGTACATCTTGCCGTTCGGTCCATGCAGCGTTAGTTCTGTAAGGGCGGGGCTGGGCACTGCCCGTTGAAGTCCAATGTGGACTCCAAATGAGCAGATGACACACCGAGATTTGCAAACTCTTGGTTTGGTAGCCCTCTCTCTACAAAACGATGAAGTTTGCAAGCGCAGAATGAATCAGTTTTCTTGAGTCAAGAATCTTGACACGAAAGCCAAAACACTTTTCCATTTCGACGTTGATGCTCAACAACGAGCTCCTGCCCTCGTGCTAACGCCGCGTTCTTCGTTGCGGGGAGGGTGTGCTGCCTCAAGCTTTGGTTAGAATCTTGACAGAACTCTTTACCATACACACCGCGACTTCATTTTTCCATTGGTCTGCTTTGAGCCACAACTTACCGTTAGGCTACGATTCAGCTATCGCCGATAGCTGAATCGCCCAATATATATAATTATACAGCCATGCGTGAGTACGAAAGAAACCCCTACTCTACACCTTTTCAACTTCAAAACTGCAAATTGTAAGTTCAAAACAGCAAGAGGTAAGTTCAAAACTGCACGAGCAGAGACCAGGCCAGCTTCGTACTTTTATACACAGCTCATTGGTTGGCACGCAGCATAGCTAGCCAATAGGCAAATTGTACTCTATAATCGTATACGATGATACATATCATTCAGTTTGAAATATACATTTATAGAGTATTGTTCTTTTGATCTTACCTTTTGCTGTTTTGAACTTACAATTTGCAGTTTTGAAGTTGAAAAGGTGTTGTATAATAGTAGAAGATTTTGTTTGGTCTAAAATCCTGATGCTGCTCTTACCTTTTCACCCACAACTACCTCGTTTGTCTTCTTGGCAGCGTCTCATTCTGCTACTGTAGGCATGTGAGGTTCTTCTCGATACGCTGGTTCAGAGGTCGGCTCAGTCCGTCAAGAAGCCCCAAAGAAACCCGTCCTCGGATTTTTTTTATCGAAATGGCTAATATAACGGATAGTAGACACAAGTTTGTGCTTCTAGAGCAAATGTTTCAAAGCGTCGGCTTGATCACGCCGCACGCATCGCCGAACACTGCTACCACCAAAACGGTGTTCCCCGTTCAGTGTGATGCAGTCGAATCCTGTGAAGATTTGGTAGACCAGATATAGCCAGTTTTCGAGGTTCGGGTTGAACTTGTCACGAGAGGGCGACAATAAATTACCTTACCGTCGGAGGCACTGATTTTTCGAAAAATAAGAGCCGCCCCGCGCCCCCCCCGTTTTGGATGGCATTCGTCGATCGGCCCCAAGAGAGAAAGAAGCAAGAGTGAAGGTCCCTGCACAAGAATGGCGCGCACAACTGCTTACATGCGAGTCATGGGTAAGGAATATGTGTTACTGACATTTGATTCTATTAGCCTGGCTCGTCGAAGCGCCCTCCAGGCCCCGAAGACGCCCATGTGACGCGTGCGCAGCGCGACAGTGCTGAGTCGGAGCGGAGTCGGAGTCGGCAGCGCCAGCGCGAACTTCGGCATGAAACGGACAGGACGCTGCGCGATCTCCCCCCACTGCCAGTGTACAATCGCGGTGTGCTGGAAGCGCAGCGTGCCGCGAATGTGGCGCGCGCACGCCGCGACGAGCAGGAGATCTGACTGAGAAATGGACGGGAGGCACAAACGCACTCGGAGTGCTACCGCCATGCTGTGAAGTGAAGATGGGAAGAAGGCTGGGCAGAAGGCCCGGGCTGAAGCCCGCGAGCAGAGCATGTACGAGCGGTGGGAAGCACGTGCCGCGCGCGAGATGTTCGGCATAGAGCCAGATTCGGATTCTGACGGCGGCGCCCTTGCCGAAGCCATTTCCGCTTTGGACGAGGCCGATGAAGAGCTGTCTCCTGGCGGCACGGACGACTCAGACTACGAGGAGAAGACCCCGCCGTTCGGCACCGACCCAGACGCCAGTGACGAAGATGACGAAGACAACGATGATGAAGAGCGCGAATCGGCCGCTGAAAACGACGGTGAAGAGAGCGAGGATGCTGACGAAGACGACAAAGACTGGCGTGGGAATGAGGGCAACGTCGAAGAGGAAGAAGGTGACGTCGGGAGTGGAGACCGCGCAGACGAAGTGGACAGCGAGGAAGACGACGAAGGGGACGAGATTCGGTTTGTACCCGAACCGAAATCTCACCGAAGTTCGTCCCGCACGTATGACCTTCACGTGAAGCGAGTTGTGCCTGTGTGGTTCTACGGATTCAGCACCACGTTCGACTCGTGGGATACGTTCCACACCTCGTTCGACGACTTCCAGGCTCAGACATTCCAGCAGTTTTCCATGCGAACAAGTACGTCAGGTTTCCTGCGGAACAAGCAAATTCTCGAAAAGGACAAGGAAATGAAGCGAGCCGCAAAGAAGGCCCGGAAACCGATCACCTTGGTTCCGGCGGAATGGGTGACGTACTCGAAAACGCTGGTCTGCACGCATGGTCAGCCCTACGAACCGAAGGGCAAGGGAAAGCGGCACCACAACAACGTTCGCGACACGAAGTGCAAGGCGAGATTGAATGTGCGTGTCGCTGCCACGTTCAGCGGAACTCGGTTTTTACGCGTGAACGCCACCGGCAAACACAATCACGACTTGAACAAGCATCTTTGGGAGAGCTACGCGGAGAACCGGACGGTGAAGGACCCGCAGTTGACGGAGGATGAGGCAGTGCTGCATAAGGCTGGGGCGAACACGCACGGCATCTTGCAATACCTGCGTGAACGTACAGGTAAAGTCTTATCACTTTCTGTGTGATTTTGGTTTGTTCCGAACTATTTGCTGTGGATATTTGGTGGTATGTTGTGGGCAAGAAAACCGTGTGGAAGGACGTCCACAACACGGTGCAGCGATACAAACCGACCGAGCAAGCTGGTCTTACTGATGCGCAACGCGCATTTGCAGTGATGGAAGAGTTTTGTCTGCAGCACGGTGGCAACTCTGCTCAAATTCTTGTGGGTAGCGACTCCAACGTTGCTCGCGTCGCCACGTTCCAGTCCGCAAGAATGAAGCGCTTGTTCAAAGCGTTTCCGGAGGTGATGCTCGTTGATGCCACGCACGACACGAACGTGAACCGCTACAAGCTGTTCAGCTTCGTAGTGCACGACGTGTTCGGAAAGGTACTGACGTAGACAAGTTTTTTGTTGTGCTGTACTTTAATACGCTATTCTAACCTTATCATAGGGTCAATATGTCCATCATGCACTTGTAGACAGTGAGCACAAAAACAATCTGCGCCGGGTGATGGAGATCTTCAAAGCAAACAACCCTGACTGGGCCAAAATCCAAGTGGTGATGACGGAAAGGCTGCTCATGAGAAAGAAGTTCTGCGAGAAGAGCTGCCCGACGCTCGGCAACTCTTGTGTCAGTGGCATGTGATTACCTAGCTGAAGAAGCAGGCTGCACGTCTGGCGCCATCGGTGAAGAAGTCGGTGAAGAGCCTGATGCGGTTGATGGTGTACGCAAGCAACGAGGACGAGTATGAAGATGCAAAAGGAGCTGTGTTGGAGTTGCTTGGAGGCGATACATCACACGAGTTGTACCGCACGTTCATGGCAAACTGGGACAGTAACCAGGACGAGTGGGTTTCCTACAAGCGCGGCAACACGCCGCACCTGACGAACAACACCAACAATAGGATCGAGTCCAAGTGGGGGAAGATAAAGGATGTTATTAACGACTCCTTCACTGTCGACCAACTCCTGTCTACGCTGATGACGCTGCAGCACTATGCCGAAGAGCAGTATCGCGCAGAATACCATCGAGTTGGGAGCCGGCCTTCGCGGGATTCGGAGGACCGCGAGCTGACGCTGCTGGCTTTGCAGGTGAGCCCGTTTGCCTTTGAATTGGTCACACCTTGGCAACCGGTCCGAACGCAGACTACACGGTTGAGCTGAACACACCAGGACGAGCCACTGTCACGAGCCCAAGGTCTGGAGAAGTGCATGAAGTCAACACGAGGGTAAGCTATTCAAGTTATGGTATACTTTTGGTCTATTCAGTTATCTTTGGTATTGACGACTGACATGTAATCTGTGCTGTACAGACGAACTCCTGCAACTGTATCTTCATGAAGACCTGCTTGCTACCCTGCCGCAACGTGATGTACGTCCGGAGCACGTCCAACTTCGAAACAGTACTGCCCCCGATGCACTGTTCCCTACACGATGGATTGTGCAGAGTCCAGAAAACAACATCGACTGGGGAGAAATTCCGTGTGGAGGGTTGAAGCAAGGGAGCTGTCCGTCTCGAGCGAAGGAGCGAGCTTTGTCGAGGGCTGCGATGTACATCGAAGCCAAGGCAACAACGGAGAAGATCATTGCAAGAATGGCACTTCAATCTACACCCACATTTCGGATCGCGCTGAAGTGGCTTCAGGATTTCTACGAAGCGCTCAACTCCGGCGACGTGGTTGCCTTTGCAGAGCTCGAGGTTCCGGTATTCACGGGGCTTTCTCTAGTGATCTCCAGAGCAAAGGAAACCACCAAGGTTGAAGATACTGGCGGAATCGAAAGAAGTGAGGAGGAGTCCTGCAGCACTGCTGTTGAAGTCGATGTGGCCGCTGATGGAGAAACTCAAACGGGTGCGGAAGCAGAGGAAGATGGCAACGCTACACCCTCCGACCAAACCTTACAAGATTCTACCGAACCCACACAAGTCTCCACCGAATCGAGAAAGCCGTCAGAAGAACGCCCGAAGGCAGTCACGTGGACGTTTGCGGAGCGTCCAGTGGTCAATGGAATGACCAAGGCTCAGCGAAATCGTGCCCAAGCTAAACAAGACCGTGAAGCTGCATTGGAACTGGCAGCTAAGTACCGCCAACGAAAAGTGGGAAAATTGGTTTCATTCGATGATGTTGCCGCTTTGATTGACGGACCCTACAGTCTATTCCACTCAAAGCCTATGGTTGACGCGCTTGTACTGCCCCAAGTTGATGTTACCAGGCCGCTGTCCGTCCGAGCCTTCAAGATCGACCAAGACATTCCGTTTATCAAGGGTATCCCTCCGCTACCCATTGTGACGGAGGATATTGACGCTATCAAGATAAGGCAGGACATCGACCTTCTTGCCTACTGGCCAGACTACGGCTACGCTACATTTGATCAGCTGGACGCTATGGCAAGCATCCTGGAGGTGCGTCAGCGATTCGCGTTGGTGATGCGCACTACAAAGTGGATTGACGAGGTGGAGTGGCGTGTTGCAGACCTTCGCGAGACACGAGGGCAACTACAAAGGTAAGAAACAATTCACAGCATTTGAACTGAAGATGCACCAAAACTAAAAAAATATCTTATGTATTGCAGAACGAGCACAAGGCTTACGTCGAAACGCTCAATCTGAGCGTAAATCGCGTGCCCGGTGAATGTGTGAACGGACACCAACTGCTGGACTTCCGTGAGAATCTGTGGCTGCATACCACGTCCATCTTGGTGTCGCTGATGGCTTTGCGCGACGCTTACCCGGACGTAGGCATCATCAGCCCCAGCTATCACGACTTTGCGTTGCCGGAGCAAAAACGCAGGACCGCGGCAGCATTCGGGGCCAGCGACCCTAAGAACAAGCGTGTCATTGGGATCATTCACATCGAGCGGCACTGGGTGGCGTATTTAATCGACAGGACGGTCGCCAAGGGCACGAAGACGGCGACATGCTTTATGTTTGACCCTCTACAAAGTCGAAGCAACTACACCGTCACTGAAAAAAGCGTGCGGACCGTGATTGAAGGGATTGCTTCAGCTAGGTGGCATGGTGAACTACGAGAAGGTGGAGTGGTGCACTCAGCAGGACAACAGTTCTTGTGGCGTGTGGTGCATCGCAGTTCTGGAGATGCTGCTTTGTGACGCTTCGTGGGACGACTGCATCTACAGGTTGCTGCCGTACCTGCGGCTGCGCTATCTGCAGAAAGCTCTTGCTTTCCTGGGCAAAGAGGCAGCTTGAGAGGGATGAGAGGGTGACTTCAACTTCAATATACGTATCATTTGATTTCGGTATTAATTTTGGTGTAACCGAAAATATTGCACCAAAATTAATTTCAACCATCACAAAATCCGCCAAGTCCCACGATTCCCAAATCTAGAATCGTTCCGAAAAGACTGAATCTCAATGGTGTATTTTGCATACACAAAAACGAAGATAAAATAGTTTTCCCCTAGTTAATGGGTAACATTTCGACACGTGTTTTTGAGGAACAGCGGCGCACCCTAAATGGTCAAATAATGGCCGTCTAAATTCGGTGGTAGCAGCATCGTCCAACGCGTTCACCGTCTACTTGACAGTGATCACATCGCCTCCATCGATTTGCAGTCTTTCGTCGTAAAAAATCCGCTCGAACGAGGTGTTCACACTCCGGGTCGTATAAGCCGCACGCGGCCCAAATAGTATTAATACATGTAGTACTGCTGAAGCCAGACTAAACATAATAGAATACCACGTCGTGGAGGCTGCAAGATACATAAACTACTGTAGAAGTTGAGGGGTGGTGGAGTGGAGGCAGTTACAAACCCACTACAGTACCTTGAGTTTTTATCTGACTTACATGAGCCTTTTACATGCGTTAAATACTGACGTTGGTGGCCGTCCAGCGTCACATACATCGCCATCCTTTTTAAGGTACCAATATGCAAACTCAGCAGGGGTTTTGTTGCTGCATCCGCGTGGAGAAGATGGGTACATTGTGTCTTTTTTTTTCACACAAGGTAATGTGATACACACAAATGTAGCTACAGTATTCACAAAACCCATTGGCAGCGCTTCCACCGCATTGCGATCGTCAAGCAGAGCGCCATGACGACGACGCAGCGCGTGGTGCAGACCCCCGATGGGATCGACGTGTCATCGCTGGACGAGCGGCAGTTCAAGTACCTGACGCTGCCGAACGCGCTGCACGCGCTGGTGGTGTCGGACCCGAGCACGGAGACGGCGTCGGCCGCCATGGACGTGCGCGTGGGCTTCCACTCGGACCCGGAGGAGCTGCCGGGGCTCGCGCACTTCTGCGAGCACATGCTCTTCCTGGGCACAGAGAAGTACCCGGACGAGAACAGCTACAGCGTGTTCCTCAACGCGCACGGGGGCAGCAGCAACGCCTTCACGTCCGGCCGCGACACCAACTTCTACTTCGACGTGGGGGCCGCCCACCTGCACGAGGCGCTCGACCGCTTCGCGCAGTTCTTCATCGCGCCGCTCTTCACGCCGAGCGCCACGGAGCGCGAGATGAACGCCGTGGACTCGGAGAGCACCAACTACCTGCAGGACGACAGTTGGCGCATCAACCAGTTGGAGCGCGGACTGGGCAACCACAAGCATCCGTACCACAAGTTCGGCGTCGGCAACAAGGAGACGCTGGGCGCCACGCCGGAGGAGAAGGGGATCGACGTGCGGGATGCGCTGCTCAAGTTCTACCGGGAGTTCTACTCGGCCAGCATCATGAAGCTCGTCGTGTACGGCAAGGAAGACGTCGAGACGCTCGGTCGGTGGGTGCTCGAGTACTTCTCCGAGATCCCGAACTCGGGCCGACAGAGCCCCGTGTTCGACCAAGAGCAGCCCTACACGGTGGACCAGCTGGCCAGACGACTGGAAGTCGTCCCCGTGATGGATTGGAAGGTGGTGCAGGTGTCGTGGGTGCTGCCTCCTCTTCGCGGCAAGGGATACTCGCAGCAGCACACGTCGGTACTGAGTCATCTGATCGGACACGAAGGACAGGGCTCGCTGCTCTCGTACCTCAAGAAGAAAAAGTGGGCTAACAGCGTGTACGCAGGAATTGTGGAGGACTACGACGAGTTCTCGCTCTTCGTCGTGAGCTTCGACGTGACGGAAGACGGCATCGAGCGAGCCGATGACGTTCTGAAGGCCATGTTCCAGTACATTCATCTGATGCTGGCGTCGCCGTGGGAAAAGTGGATGTTTGACGAGCTCGAGATCATGTCGAAGACGCACTACATGTTCCAGAGCAAGAACCCTCCAGCCGACTTCACGAGCGTTGTGGCCGCAAACATGCACACTTTTCCGAAGCGCGACATTGTGTCCGAGGGAGTGCTGTACTTCCCCTACGAATGGGAGCAGACCCTTGAGCTGCTCAGGCTGATGACACCTGAGCAGATGCGAGTACTCATCGCGTGTCAGACACTTGAAGACCGTGCTACTTGTGAGGAGAAATGGTATGGTACCAAGTTCCGCGAGGTTCCGCTCCCCGTAACGTTTTTGGAAGAGATGGCGAATCCGGGAACGAACATTGCATTGTGCCTACCGCATCCGAATGCGTTCGTGGTGACCGACCTTAGTCTGGTGGACGGCAGAACCGTGGACACACGCAATCAGCACCCACAGATCATCCGCGACGACGACTTTTGCCGTGTGTGGTACAAACCAGACGTCAAGTTTAAAAAGCCCCGCACGTTCGCTGTCGCTACTTTCCACTCACCCGAAGTGAATCCGACTCCGTACAGCTATGCTCTCTCGGCACTGTTTGTGGCGTGCCTGAAGGACGAGCTGAACGAATACTCGTACGATGCGCTATTGGCAGGTATGAACTACAAGTTGCGGCTTAACGGAAGCAACATCTACTTGAGTACTGGGGGCTACAGTTCAAAGTTGCCCATTCTCGTTCAGCGGATCCTAGAAGTCATGGGCAGTTTCGAGAACCACATCGGCGATGAAGCTTTCGAACGCGTGAAGCACGCCAAGTGCCGCTCATTCGAAAACATGCGTCTGGAAGAAGCCCACCGACATGCAGTTCAGCAAGAATCAAACCTGCTACACGAGCGGAGCTGGAGCGTTGACGACATCGTTAACGCCATCCGAAACTGCTCATTCCGTGACGTGATCGCGCACTCAAAGCGTCTATTTCGACAGGTCTACTGTGACATCCTTCTGTACGGCAATTTGAGCAGATCTGAGGCGACAGACCTAGCCGGCATCATAGTGGATCAAGTTCGGGCCCCGCGAGCGCTGACTATGCCATCGTCGAAAAAGTACTGGATGGGCCGACAGGTGAAGCTTTCCTGTGGTGTGCACTACATTTATAAGTGTGTGCATCCCAACCCAGAGAATGCAAACTGTGCTGTGAACTGCATCTACCAGATCGGCTTGGAGAATTACATGGATCGCGCGAAGCTGGCTTTGTTCTCGCAAATTGTCGACGAGCCGCTCTTTGACCAGTTGCGCACGAAGGAGCAGCTTGGGTACACCGTGTACTCGACACCGTCGCGCGGGAATGGCGTGCAGTCGTTCAAGATTGTCGTGCAGTCCAACGTCGCCCCACCAGCATTCATCGAGCAGCGGATTGAAACGTTTTGGCTTGAACTCCGCAACACGATTGCTGGTATGAGTGGTGACCAACTCCAGGAGCACATTCAGTCTGTCGTGAAGGGTTACGTTGAAAAACCCAAGAACCAGGAGGAAGAGGTGCAAGCTTTACTGGTAGAAATTGCCAACCATCAGTTTGAGTTTGGGCGCAAGATGAAGTTGGCGAAGCTGGTTCGTACGCTGCAACTTTCCGACGTGCTGCAGTTCTTCGACGACTACATCCGTCCTGGAGGTGCAATGCGAAAGAAATTGAGCGTACATATCTACGGAAACGAGACGCGTCTGGAGAAGGTCACAGATTGCTCTGCGACTGGCTGGTCCGCCTTCGACAGCGGAAGTCAGACTGGTCTCATGGCGGCTATGGCGTTGGGTGCGTCCAGCGAACCAGCGTCTGACGTGAAGATTGAGTATGTCAAAGACTCGGAAGACTTTAAGCGGCGGACATCGATGTACGAGTTGCCGACTGCCTATATGTAGAGTGAACGCGAGCTCAAGGAAAATCATCCATGCATTACAGCAAGGTACGCGCTAACAAGATAGATCATCAACAAGTTGACTGCACACGGCAACAGCCAGACCTCTCTAACCTTGCAAACTTGACAACCAACCGCCCTCCTTGACCAGCTCACAGAACACACCGCTCCCACCCTTCACCAAGTTGCGAGGACAGTCGAACTCCACCACTCGACCGTCGCTCAGCACCGTGATGCGGTCCGAGTCCAGCACCGTGCCCAGTCGATGGGCGATCGTCAACACCGTCACGTCCTGGAAGTCGCGCTTGATCATCTCCTGCAGCTTCCTCTCCGTCGCGTGGTCGATGGACGCCGTCGCCTCATCCATCACCACGATGCGGCTCCGCGTCAGCAGCGCGCGAGCCATGCACAGCATCTGCCGCTCGTCCACGCTGAAGTTCTCGCCGTTCTCGCTCAGCTCGTACGCCAACTGGCCCTCCAGCGCCGACACCTGCGCCTTCATGTCCACCTTCTCCAGCGCAGCCCAGATGTCGGCGTCCGTGAACTCGTCGAACGGGTCCATGTACGCGCGCAGCGAGCCCTTGAACAGCACGGGCGACTGCGGGATGATGGACAGGTGCGAGCGCAGCGTGCGCAGGGGCATCGTCGCGATGTCCACGCCGTCGATGAGGATGCGGCCGGACACCAGCGCCATGGTGAGGCTGGACTTGCCAGCGCCGGTGCGTCCGACGATGCCGATCTTCTCGTTGTTGCGGATGTCGAAGGACAGACCCTTGAGCACGGGTTTGCCGCCCTGCTTGTAGCTGAACACGACATCCTGGAACTGGACAGTGGAGGAACGAGGCCAGGATGCATCGGGTTCAATCACTAGCGGCCGTTGACTTCCCTCAGCGGGGATCGATCCGTACTCCAGAATGCGTTCGGGGCTAACCATCTGAATCTCCACCCATGACCTCGACATTATAAGGCTTGCAAGGCTCCCATCAACGCTGAGAGCGTACGTGAAAGCCAACCCTACAAGACCTGGCGATAGGAAGTTGTGCAGATAGACCAAGCTGGAGATCACGAGGGTCACGACGCCAAATCCGATAAGCTGCATGCGTAACTGGAACTAGTGTTTGAACACCATTTGCGCAAGCCAGGCTTTGCTGTTCACGTCATTGCGGCGGAAGTTTTCAGCTTCCATGCGCTCCACCGTTTCTTGCCCAAACGCACGAACGACGGCAATGCCATCGCCGGACTGACTCACGTAACTCAGAATGGGCGACGCTGATATTTTCCACAAACGCGCCGTCTCTCGTGACGGAGCCATGTAATGGTTTCCAATCCTCATGTAGATCCACACAAGCGGGATGACCAGAGCGCCCAAAAAGTTTATCATGTACACAGCAGTCGCCAGTTGACACGCCGCGAAGAAAAGCAGCCCGAGAAACTCCTGAAAAGCGAATGATATCATGAAATCCACAGCCGACATGTCATCACCGTAGCGGTTCACGATGCGGCCGATGGGGTTAGCATCGAAGAAGCGATGCGGGGCTCTCAGCAAAGACACCGTCATGTTGTCGAAGAGCTGTCGTGATGCTCGAAGGCCGACAACTGCCACAGTTGCCGCGCGGACCAGCACCATGATGGCAGTGCCAGCACCAAGCCAAGCATACACCTTCACGTTGTACACAGTGTCATCCGGGTTGTACGATCCGTTCTTCTGTCCGGTCCAGTGACTCAGCCACAAGTCACTCCCGATCTGGAAAACCTGCCATAGCGTCTGCACTGCGAAAAGGAACACGCACACCTTGACGCCACCGAGCGAGTCGAAGTAGCTCGAGAACACCTCCTTGGACACGCGGCCTTCTTCACGCTCCTCATCGTCGATCAACCGCCCAGCATCCTTATCCTTGTTAGCGTTGCTCTCTCCGTCATGACTGGCGTCGTCCTTTACCGAACGAGGAGACACTGGGAGCGTGTACGAGCACCGAGGCAATGCAACATCGTGTCGAGTCGCCTTCAATTTCCCACTTTCCACCAGCACCTCCACGTTCGCAGCTTCACTCGCGATGATGTCGGCGCTGTGCGTCACCAGCACCACCGTCTTGTCCGCCAGCAAGTTGCAGATGCAGTCGCCGAAGATCTGACTCTGGACGATCGCGTCCACAGCAGCCAGCGGGGAGTCAAGCAGCAGAATGTCGGCGTCAGAGTAGCATGCGCGAGCCAGGCACACGCGAGCCTTCTGGCCGCCTGAAAGGTTCACTCCCTTCTGGCCGATCTCCGTCGCGTCGCCTCCAGGAAACTGCTGCAGGTCCGGCAGTAAACCACACGCGGCGATCACGCGGGAGTACTTCTCCTTGTCGTACGGCAGTCCGAAGAGAATATTCTCGCGGATGGTCATGTTCTGGATCCACGTCTCCTGCGAGTAGTAGGCAACGCGACCGCGAACGAAGACGTTGCCGGCCAGCTTGTTCATTTCTCCCAGCAGCGCCGAACACAGCGAAGACTTGCCGCTGCCGACAGAGCCGTGCACGATGACCAGGTCGCCCTGTTTCACGGTGAGGTTCACGTGGTTTAGCAGCGCCGCCTCCTTCGTCCAGCCGAAGGTGCCGTCTTCAATAGCCATCACGACATCGTCTGGCTGCGCTGGGTCATCGCGTGTGACGTTGGTCGGGTTGAATTCGTCCAGCAAGAGGTAATCCGCGAATCGGCTGATCGAAATCTTGGCTTGAATGAACATCTGAATAACTGTGGGTAAATCGCGTAGTGGGTCCCGCAGCATGTTGAAGAGGGCGATGGCAGTAAACACCTTTGCCGCAGTCAGTGTTTTGCCCATAGTGATCGCGTACACTGCGAATGATACGGCCGAGACTGCCAGTGGCGATGACCAGAGGATAGTAATATTGACGGCACCAAGATAGAGATATCGCTGCACAGCCGCAACTCAATGGTACGGGCGGGTCGGATCTTCTCAGTGAACTTGCCCTCCCACGCGTTAAGTTTTACAATCTGAACGGCGTTGAAGACCTCCTTGATAACGCCGAGTCGGTCGTCTTTGCTCTTCATGACGTCGACGAAAGCTGCCCCCGAGAGCTTGGCAAGAAAATAACTTATCAGCATCAATAGCGCGATGACAGCCAGCCCAGCAATCGCAGCGAGGTCAATGACAACGTAAAGCATCCACACGGCCACGACGATCTGAGTCGGGATAATCCAGAGCTTGTTGACCTGAAACGCTGCCCACAGCACGTTATTGACATCCGAAGTCAACAGGTTGGAAATATCCACAGCATCGGGGTCGTTTTTCGTCTGGAGACTGCGACGCATAGCCTTCTGGAAGAGCAGCGTTTTCAATGTCACCGTGAGACGCAACGCTATCAGCTCCAAGGCGTAGTTCATTTGCGTCGACAGGATTGCATCAACGAAGCGTGAAGCGAAGAAAACGCCGAGCCACACACTGAGGTCGTTTAAGTCGAGCTCAACCTCCGAGAGGGCACTGATGACGTGGTTCAAAACCACAGGCGCGAAGAGGCCGCACGCTGTCGAGAACAGCATCGCCAGTCCCCACAGAAGGAACTGTGCGCCATATGCAGCCGCCATGGCCTTGGTGACGGACTTGTCATGACGGTCGTAGTGCCCCACGAACTCCTGCAATGCTGCGGCTGAGCGGATTTCTCCGTCTAGCTCCCACAGGTCTTCGAAGTTGAGCTGCCGCAAGTTGCCAGTGTTCATGATGGGGTTGACGAAGAGCCGCGACAAGAAAGACGCAGCACCTGGTGTACTGGGGCTCGCATCGTGCAACTTCTGCTTGGTCTCGTCCACGTCGTCGTTCAGCTTGAGGAAGCGGGGCTGCTTGATCTTGGTGGATCTTGACAAGGCGGAGTGCATCGTCATCGATTCCAGCTTCACTGCGCCCCCCTGCGCACTCCGGAGCCAATTGATGTCTATGGAGACCGTCGGACATGCCACCAGCTTACTTGTGATACCGCGAATTGCAGTGAAAGACGCGTGGCGCTAGTCGCACTGATTGGCTGGCGCTTACTGACTAAAATGATGTAGCACTAGACTCTACTTTGCCTACACAAGCAACTCCACGGACAAAAGTAATCGGAAATTTTTATTTTTTCAAGTTTTAATTGAAATAACGCTTCGGAATACAACTGTACCCGGAATCCGTGTATTGAGCCATTGGCACTTTTGCGCTAGAAATTATTGGGTAGCAATGATAGATCCACACATACATAAGACAAACAAAAACTAGGGCTACGCGTAGGCTGGGATAGCAATTTTATGGGAGCAACCAGGGTTTCCAAGTAACAGTATGCTCTGTCTGGAGGTGTTTCTGGTGCACCTGCAGGCGGATGCATGAATACATTTCCAAAGTGAGATCAAAGCGTTGTAGGAGCCCGGTGTTAGAGTGGCCGGTATGGGCTTATCCCGAAGAAGCATTAAAATTTATTGTAAAAACCGATTAGAATGTATTGTAAATCGGCAGATTTAGTGGCTTATTAAGACTTATGATCCCCGATTTCCTAAATCTGACCTCCTAATTAGACTGGGGAACATCGATTTAGACTCACGATTATTAGCAATGACGACTTGCAGAGCCAAATCATATGCATCGGATTTAGGTTTGCTAATCAGCCGATTTAGCCAGAGCCGGCCGATTTGTTTGCTATTCAGACGGAATGTCCGATGTGCAACCGGCATTCGCTCCTTGTAGGCTAAATCAGCCGCGCAGACAACAATCGTTGCAGTTGCTCTTGGCTAGGTATTATAGCCAAGGTTGACAACTCCCACGCAACCGTGACGCCAGCCTGTCTGTCCTCGCCGAAGATCGTAACTTAGAACTCAGCAGCCTTTGCCTCATGAGTTCATTGGGTTCACTCGTAGCTTTGTGGTGTGGTAATTCCACTAAAATCCTCCTCTACCAAAAGGTATTAGAGGCACCAACAACACGCTAACCCGCAAAGGTAAGCGCTTATTGGATCAAAACCTGAAGACCAGGAACGATCCCTTACACCGGGTCGGTTGCAAGCGCCTCTGTGCACCTTAGGTTGTCTTCGGTCAACCCAAAAACCTGTACCGCTAGCCACGAGCTAAGGCTAGGATACTATGTAGCGCTTTCGCGCAACCCCACTGCAGTCCCTCAGAAAGGAAGGGTACCGGCGTGTTAGGCCTTATACAGGGGGACCAAGGTAAAACCTCGGTAGGTAGACTAATACACTCAGGGACACTTTAATCCCACAAATATATACTGAACGATACTCTAATACCGTTCCTGCCTCTCCGGCCACGCCAACTCTTGGCGCTGCCAAGGAAACTCTCGGTCAATGCACGGTAAGCTCCCCGACAGGCATCCACACGCAGCCGGGCGTGTCCAGGCACTACAATAAACTAGCTACACTTACCGAAGTCGGACTTGACCCTTGTTGGCTTTGGGGGAAGACTGTCTTTTTATTACTGAGTTTTCTGAGGCCCTGGGGACCTCGTACTGGCCATCCTATGATGCGTCCTATGTCCCTCTACAAATATCTAGTGTGAACGATCGCAATAAGGCGATTCCGGACACATCAAATGACGACCGCGGCTACACTAATAAGTGTGGCCGAAGTACGTAACTAAATGCATCTGTACCTAAAAGTGGGTACCATGAAGCCTCGTTCGGGGTTCTATTAGGACCCGACGAGGCTTCGGCCACTGCCTGTCACTCTACCGAGGATAATGTCATCATCCAATCAGAAGCAGCCATCTCCGTCTCTCGCTTGACCTCGCCTTGATCGCCCCTTGATTGAACTTGATTGTCGGGCTGGCGGGTCAACAGCGTTGGAAACTGCCACTTTCCAATACCACAACTGCCCCCGCCTCGACGCGAGCCTCCCACGCTGGTGAGCGTCTAGGCGTCATCAGTTCTTCGACTCCATGGCTCCTCCGTCGCGTGCATTCGCCGACGCGGCTGCCGCTGCTCTTCGGACTCTCCAGTGCTCCGGACCGGTACGTTCGTCGCTCCCGCTGTTCACTGTCATTCGGATCCTCGTTGTTGACTCCATCTCTTTCTTGATCATCTCAGGGAGCTGTTGATGTCTCCACCAACACTTCGGGTCGTCGTCCGGCGCGCCAGGCTCGTTCGGGGGGTGCCCCCGCCCCTATCGCCGCTGGTGCTGTGCCCCCAGCCCCGGCCGCGCCTGCAGGTGACCCTACGCTCATTCCTGCCGCCTCCGGGACCTCGGTCGACCCTCCACCAGCTCCTCCAAGTAGTCCTGAGTCTGCTGCTGGGGCGACCGAGACTCCCTCGCCGGCAGTTCCCAGTGAAGAGGCTCCCGACTCGCCGCCAACACCGCCGCCAAGCGCCAGCGCTCCACCGTCGCCAACTCCCGCGCCTTCGGTCACGTTGGCAACTCGTGGGGCGTCGGTGGGGGGCGAAGCAGCTGTAGGGGGTCGCGCCGGAGCTGGTGCTGGCCCGGCCGAGGTTCCTCCGACAGCGGTCGTCTTGGGCGAGCAGCAGATGCTGGAACTCGCTCGTCTCGTCGTGGGTGTTGCCCGTTCACCTCCAACTCGAGTCAACGCTGCTCTCGACCACAGCCTGCAAGCTGCTACTAACGTCGGTGAGGTGCTGGCTGCTGCCGTTGCTCCTCCGCGTCTCCCTCTTGCGGAGGCTGATGAACTGGTGGCCCTCCGCCGCGAGAATGACCGGCTGCAGGCAGAGCTCTCCGACGCCAAAGATAAACTCGCTGAAGAGATGAACCTGCGGACCAAGTCGGACTACTTCCTCGTCTCGGCCAACTCCGAGTGCGACCAAGCTCTGGACCTCGCCCAGGACATGCGCGTCCAGCTCAGCAACGCCAGCGCTCAGTTGATGCAAGCGAACGCGGCCATCGCTCACCTCGCTGACGTCACTCAGTCGTTGGAGAAGCGGACGCTCGTTGCTGAGGCCGATTCGGCCGCTGCTGTACGTCGGAACACCCAGCTCCACGAGCGTATAAGTGCAAGCCTCGTTACCTACAACACTCAGTTGGAGAGGCTTCGGAAGCAGTTGGCCGACCGCGACCGAGCAAACGTCATCCCCGCACGCATTCAAGCGTTGACGGACGAGAACAACAGCTTGCGGCGAGCGAATTCTATCCTTCGTCGGCACTCGGCAGCACACGGACTCGACATCGACACCTTGGTCCTGGCCTCAGCCGGCATCTCCGCCGCAGAGATTGATTGGAATCTTCTCGGGCTGTCCCCACCGACGGTCACTGTCGAGAGTCCACGCCATGCCGAATCCTCGTCAGAGGAGGGAGAGGAGTCCAAGACGACCGACGTGCCGATAGCTGAGTCCACCGAGGCTACGTCCGCTCCCGCTGCTTCGGTGGGCGCTTCTGCTGGTTCCCCGGTCTCCACTGAGTCGTCATCGCGCAAGCGGGGTCGGCAAACCGAGTCTGCTTCCGTCGGGAATACGGCATCCCAGCCTCCTCCTCACAAACGCTTCGGCAGACCGTCAGTCGACCTGAGGGCCAGGGCTGCAGCGGCCGCCGCGCCATCCAATCCTCGTTCGGCATCAGGAGAGATTTCCCCGCCTCCTCGGTCGGTGGTGCGTCCTCCAACGACGGCTCGCTCAAGCTGGTTGGAGTCTCAGCCTCTCCCGTACGAACACTCAGACGTCCCCTTGTATCCTCGGCTGGCCAGTCGCGCCTCGCCTCCCTCGCCAGCCCCAGCCCAGCAGCAGGAATCGTCTGACGTGGAGTTTGGAGGGAGTATGAGTCCTAGCGACACTTCACAAGATGACCTTGAGCCCGGTGAGATTCCGGGGGTGTCGGCCAGCGCTCAGGGTGTTCAAGGTTCTGCTACCGAGCCTTCCGGTACTGTCATCGAGGTTCCATCCGAGGTTTCGCCTTCGGCGGCGACTTCCATTCCTTCGCCAGTCTCGTCTGGTACAGCCGGCGTCGGCCGTGCCCCTCGAGAATCGGCTGCTGGGGTCACCGAGGGCTTTGGCGGCCCGCCAGACCGTTCACCTAGCGGTGAGTCGCCTCATGTGTCCGAGACTTCCGAGGACCGCGCAGCGTTGTTCCTGGAGATGTTCGGCCCCGACGAAAGAGAGTAAACCTCGGTGGCGCAACCTGTCGCTCCTTCGGAGGCTCCTTCTCCTCTGGCTGCCGCGACCGAGGTTCCTGTAGCTTCACAAGCGGCCACCGTGCCACTCCCGAGTCGACTCCACACTCGGTCGGCCTCTGTTCACGCTCGGGCGATGGTAACAGCAACGGTGACAACTTCACCGAGGGCTGGACCTGCGTCGATTGCCCCAGCAGTGGTTGACGCTTCCGACGTAGCTCCTGGATCGCGTAAGCTCAGTGGTCTTGCTACCCTGTTCTTGGAGCCGGGTTTCACGGCACCCGGAGCGTCGAAATGCTGGCATCTCATCCAAAACGCCAGTGACCCCCTCGTCTTCGAGGACGACTTGGTCGCCCCCAGTTCAGTGGATGGAATCGTGTGGTTTGGCTTGTGGACAGATCCTGCTCACCCCTTCCAAGTGTTGCGCCAGCTTTTCCCAGACGAGCCTTGTTTGATCGATACGACGGGTTTTCCATCCTCGGTGGCTATATCCCGTCGTGCAACTGGTCGGGCTCTTCTCGTTCGCCGATGGTGGCAGTTCCAGGGGTACTCCTACCACTCCACCGAGAGGGGCGACCTTGGTTTCGCCTTGTGGGAGCGTCGCCACTGGATTAGGGGTAAAGCTGTCAAGGCGTATATCGACAACCTCGCCAGCACCCTCGGTCAGCGCAACGTGCAAGTCCTAGCGCTTCGACAAGCGTGGTCCAAGTACCACCGAGAGCGCAGTTATCGTGCAGATCGCTTGCGAGACCAGATGCTCCACAAGGTGTGGAATGGGGCCATTACGTACGACGGACAACCTCCACAGCACCGCACCGAGGTTTTGCTGGAGCCGTCGTACCTGCAATACTCGTTCGAGGTGATGGAGTGGGTCCCCACTACCGACGACTGGGCCTCCGAGGTGGCGGACGTGGATGCCCGCGAGCCGTGGCGTAACCGTTGGTTCCAAGCGCCGGCAGACCACCCCTACAACACGGCTTTCGCCCCTTGCAACGACGTCCCGTTGTTTGTCCCCAACGGATCGACTCGGGAAACCGTGGCGTCGTCGGTCGTGGTCGAATCTTCTCTGCGGACTTCGATGGTGGTCGCTCCATGGGTGGCCGAGTTCGTAAACGCTCGTCGTTCTCGCTCTCCAAGCCCCGATGAGGAGACGAAGGAGTCGGGTGAAGCTTCTTCCGCCGTCGGGTCAAGTCTGGGCGTGTTGGCTCAGGCTGTGATGGAGATTTAGCCTCGTTAGGCCCCGCTCCAGCTTCACCGTTTCGTTCACGTTCTTTTCCAATGTCGACCGAGGTCCGTGACGCTTTAGGCGACGCTGCATGTGCTATCCCAATCCAAAATAACGTCATGTTGTTCGTTCCATTTCATAATCCTTTCTCGCGTCAACGCACATCGCATTCAATACTCGGTCGCGGTTCCCAGAGCTTCTTCTCTGCCCTCGACCGCTGTGGCTGCCTCAAACGAGGCTTGGTTCGTAGCTGCGACAGCCGGGCTTCGTCTTGTCTTTCTGCAAGAAGATCGGGCTTATGCTCGTTGAAGACCGGATTTGATTCGCGGGAGACCGGGCGTACTTACGCTAGCTCCGTTGCGGGTATGTTTTCGCATGACAGCCCAATTTTGACAACTGTACACCCGGTCTGCTGCGGGTATCCGGTGTCGACAGCTTGCATACCCATTTCATCATCAACTCCAAACTCAACCGCGAAGTCGAGCGCACTTGTTCGTGCTACTTCCATGGCAATCACTGCGTCCGAAGCCTCGGCCGCCCTCCCATTTGCTTCATCATCGCTTGTTTCGTCTGTTGAGGGTTTGACCGAGGCTTGCTTGCGTCTTCCGTTGTCCCTGGCTCCATTCCGATATCTCCATTCCCTCGTGACTCTTTCACTTAACACGTAACATGCAGATTCCAGTAACTTTCTTCGTCTGTCACTGCGAGCTGGATAGCCCTCGCAGGCAGTTCAATCATCATCTCCAGTAGCCTCGTTCGTCTGACATCGCGGGCTGGATTGCCCCCGCGAGCAGTTCAATCCTCGTTGGGGCGCAGAATTACTCCTCTTCGGCCACCTGGGCCATTTGCAAACGTCGGTCGCTTCGCTTCCGGCGTAGGTAATCGTACAGGAGGCCACCGCACGAGAGATTGGACGCTGGTTCCCATGTCGGCTCGTCATAGCCGACCCACTTCACCTTGAACTCTCGGACGGCCCGGTCAGTGCTCGTTGACAACGGTGTCCGGTCATCGAGGATAGCCTCGACTTCATACTCGCCGTCCAGGCGGTCCGGCTCAAAACTGTCTTCAGGCAGTAATTCCTCGTCGAAGTCAAGACGAATGTCTTCGGTGACCTCACGAGCCAAACGAACCCTCGGTCGGCCTTCGAACTCGTCCACTGACTTGAGTCGTGAAACATGCACCACCGGGTAGAACCGGTATCCACTTCGGTCGGGTAATTCCAACTCATACGCAAATTCGTCGACCTTCTTCTTCACGCGGAACGGTCCGTGCCACCGATGAGCTAGTTTCTTGGTCAGTCCTGGTCGAACCCGCTCCATGTACAGCCACACTCTGCTCCCGGGCTGCAAAGAGATCCTCGTTCTCTAGTAGAGCTGCAGTGGTCACTGCAGCTCTACTATGGTCAGGGGAACTCGGTGCCCGGTCGACCGAGGTTCTATTCTCGTTGACGCCTGCCATGACTTCCTTCTCCTTCCTGCCAAGCGACGCATTGTGCTCTTCAGCTCTCCGAGCCTTTCCCGCGGCTTGGTACTCCTTGGCCATCCTCAGGGTGATTTCCTGCTGTCGGTTGACCTCTCGGCGCCATGCTAGCACGTCTGTTTGGCTACCGAAGCCTCGTTTGAGTGACGAGGACATTGCCTTGAGCGTCGACTGTGCATCCCACCCATGAACGAGGTAAAACGGAGTTTCCTTCCTCGTCGTATCACGGGAGCTATTGATGGCGAAGATCAGTCTTTCGGCGATCTCGTCCCAATGCTGCTGTAGTGGGTCTTCAGCGTATACGCGGACTGACTGCATGATCGTCTTCACCGATCTCTCCTGCTGGCCGTTGGCCTGCGGGCGGTAGCACAGGGTCGCTCTCGACCGAGACTGCATCATTTCCGCGAAGGCTTGGAAGACCTCGCTCATAAATCGAGGATCTCGGTCATGACGGATCAAGGACGGTGCTCCAAAACGTCGGTAGACACACTCCTCGAAAGCTTGCGCAACGAGTAAGGCGGTAGTGTCAGACATGGCTTTGACCACCACGAATCCCGTGAACGAGCATTGGAATAGCAGGAGAGCCGTGTTGCCACGGCGACTCTTCGGTAGCGGTATCACGAAGTCCATAGAGACTAGTTGTAAGGGTCTCTCGGCTAGGATGTTCCCTGGCGAGTACCCGCGGAACTGAGGTCGGCTCTTACTTGAACTGCAGTCAGGGCACGAC